ACTACATAATACATATATTATAAGTTAAAAGACTAATAAAAATGTATATATATAAATATATTTAATAAATTAACTGATAAATGAACTAAAAAAACGTATTTTTTATAGTTTAAAGACAAAAAAAATTCAAGATATAATTCTAAGACTAAAAATAATTAAAATTAAAAGTTTAAAAACTAAAAATAATATTTAACCTTAAATAAATAATTTAGAGTCTCTGCTTTGCTAGTAATGGCTAGAAGTAATATAATAAAAATTTATTTTACAATTTAATATAATTTAAACAGTAAAGCAAAATAGAAGGTTCATGTAAATAGTAATAGTAACTAGAGTGCACTAGTTGATACTCTTATATTTTATACAATGAGCACTTTGATCCTATAACTTAAGATTCATTCATTTAGGTTCCGAGAAAGAGCCTTAATTTCTTCTCACAATTCAATCCCTCAACTTTCAAAAAGTATTTAATTAATTCTAAAAGCTCATATTATTATGCATTCAAGTTCTTTTTTCAAAAAATAAAAACTATGTAAAATCTACTGAAAATTACATATAGTCCTAACAAATAGTAATAAAATCAAAGTTAATATAATAAATTAAAGCATATAAAATGTTTCACATCAAAGATACGTTGGAAAAAGGTAACAGAGAAAAAAAAAAACGAAAGAAAGGATAGAGATCTTTAATTTTTTTTTTTTTAAAGAATATGCTATATATTGCTTCACTTACTGAAATATTACCTCCGGTTTAGTTTACTTGTGCTAATTTTTAAAAAGAAAGAATAATAATAAATATGAGCAAAATTTGAGATTAATAAGGTTGCATTAGTCACATTATTTAAAATATTAAAAAATAGATCCTAATATATATTATTTAATGATTAGTTTTTTTTATTTTATTAAAATATGTGATATTATATATATTAATTAATTTAATGATGGAATGATATCATGTATTGATCTTATATTTTTATCTCAAATTTTCATCCTCTATATCATTACTAAAAAAAAAAAATAGTCCAATTGACTTATCAATTGTAATTTTTAATATAGCGTTAAGTTTTCTTTTTAATTTACCTCTGTTAAGTTAATAATTATTCTATTTTTAAAATTAACACATCTCAAATTCCTAATTACTATCGCTAATAAGTGTAAACATGAAATTTATATTAATAATAAGTGTATTTTATAAATCTTTATAATTTTTATAATAATTATGTCAAATAAAAATGTAACAAGTAGAACATAAAGGAGGTAATAGTTATTTCTTTATCTACTCGAAAAGGTACCGTGACTAAGTTATGGGTGAACGGCTATATATTTATGCACTATTGAAGCATTAGTTCTGAAAACCTAGAAATTAGGATGGACCATCGAAAAACCTAGAAATTGGGATGGAGGAATATAATGGAGGAATTAATTAGGAATCATAGCTATAGCTTCAATTCTTTTTTTTTTTTTTTTTGTCCTCTTTTGCTGTTGCTAGCTATCTCTAGTCTTCACTTTTCATTTTTCAAAAGAGGCTGGGGTCCTTTTGATGCAGAAGCATACGACCAAAGAATTCATACCCTTCATGGTCTCATACCCTCCAAATTGGATCCATTGTCCATGTTCAGGCCTTTTTAAGCCTAAATGTTCAGGCTTCGGATATGGGTTTTTATAGGCTCAAGAAAAAAACTATGAGATTTTTAAGCTAAGGATTTTTTTAAGTTATAGAACGTTTGGAGGGTGGGATTCACAACGGGATGGGATGAGATTTTTATCTTATCCGGATGTGTCCCATGTTTTGGGAGCCCAAAGAGTGGTTAAGGAGTCAAGTTTTTGGAAAACTTAGTTATATGGTTTGCATTAGTGTGGACAATCTGATTAACTAAAAATGAAAAATTATTTAATGATGGGGATGTCAACATGGACAGGATGTTTGACCGTATTCAAGTTCAATCTTTTCATTGGCATAAGAACAGGAGTGAAAGCTTCCATTTTTATCTTCTAGACTAGTTACTTAAGCCTAGGTTTTGTTGCAAGAAATAAGAGCATTTTCTTTTTACTATCCCCTCATGATGTATTATTAATGTATGGGTTGAGTACCTTTAATACTTAAGATTAATAAATTCTTTTGCTTTTTACCTTAAAAAAAAAAAAAGAAAGTTAAGTTTTGGCTTAAAGAGCGCTTGAGATTTATAATATAATATATAAAGAGGGATTTATTTGTATATAAATTTTATATATTATATTTATATAAAATCTTAATTATTTATTTTTTTTACTTTTAATGATTAAAATTTATCATAACTTTTTGTCGTTTCAATAAATTCTCATTAAAAAAAATTATAATACTTTATTTTTAAAACATGAATTAGATTATTTTTAGTTTTGTTATGATTTTTTATGAAAATGATATAATTTTAAAATAATTTTTTTTTAATTTTAAAAAAGTAAAACAAATAAATAGTAATATCTATAAATAAAAATTGTTTTAAAGTAATTTTCTCCTAAT